ATATTTTTTTAGTATATTACTTGTGTGGTGTAGAAGATAATTATTTATGTAGAGATACTGCTTGCAAACCAATGATGTAAGATGATGTCATGGGGTAGGACTGGATAAGTCTGACTTCTTCCTACTCCATTCAAGCATGTACTAGGTATAAGCAAATTGATATTGGATTAGCATTTGTTGGATATGTGTAAAATTATGTGTGTTGACATATCAACTGTCTTTACATGCTTGAAAGAATAAATCAAATCAAATCAAATCAATTGTTCCATCAGGAAACCACAGCAGCTAAAAATAAATGCACGTTCTTGTCAGTGTCTGTACTGCTACCTTACTTGCCATAAAACATGCTTCCTTTTGCTGCATGTATTACAAACAACACCTTTACAATGTTTAAAGCATATTTATAGCTCGTATTGATTTTTTTCATGTTAATGTCCTGTAATGAACACTCAGTGCTACAGCTCAGCCCTGTATTGCCTACGTCAAATTACTGCCTGTGTTGCCTGACACATTAAGCTCTACTTCTTTTAAACACACACACAGTGTGCATCCACTATTGTGCCGTTCAGTCAGGTTTCTAACTCATCTGCTGTGCATTCAGAGCTCGTCTCGGGCTGTGTTCAGCTGAGCTCTCAGGCTGCTTGGACTCGGTGACATCAGCCTTCAAGTATGCAGTTCTCCTTGGCTGAGCCAGAGGAGCTCGGGTGGCCCCATTCATCCCAAGGTGCTGTCTGCTCCCTCTCTTCACCTCTCAGCACGCTCTCTCACTGACTGTCCCACCTCCTGATGAGATGGGTTAGATAAATGTTTACATCCCACTATTGCTGTTTGTCTTTGTTTAGATTTGTATCATAATCCTGCTTTTACTTCCTGGATGCTCTTGGCTAAATGCAGATTGATTAGAGAGTGAATGTGAATGGTTTCTGCCAAAATTTATTTTAATGGTGGTGACAGGGGATCACTTGGTTTTGCTTACAGGTTTATTTGGTGCAGTTTGTTGCACATTTTTTTTGCTGGAAAACATGATGATAAAGGTTTGAAATACTGTAAATGGTGTCATATCATGTATTCACAATCCTTCTATTCTGGTAACTCAGTGCTGAAGTGATAGAACGGAGCAGCTTTGAAATATTTATGAGATTAAATTGTAATTATTCTTTTGCTAAACTGTAGCTCTTCCTGCTTTTTTGTGATTGTGTGTACAGTTTTTATACCTGCAACTAGATAAATGACTTTTATCCCCAGTCAAATGTAATGTCTTTAGTTGCTCATGCTTGTGAGAGACTATTCTTGAAGTTCTCACTCCACACCCCAATTACCTATTCATGATGTCAGCTAATGGATTTTAGACCTGCAAAATGAACAGTCTTTGATTACATTAGCACAGGAATGTGAAAGCCTCAGCCTCCGTGCCACCCAGCTTTCCTACCTCAGACTAATATTTTTCCCCACGTATGTTTTCCTCACATGCAGTCAGGCTTTTAATGACTTGTTCTGGTTTCTTCCAGAATGAAGAGAAGCGTAACCTAAATTTGGGTGGCCATGTTGGATTTGACAGCCTCCCTGACCAACTGGTCAGCAAATCGGTGACACAGGGGTTTTGTTTTAACATTCTCTGCGTAGGTGAGTACCAAATGACTGTGTGTATGAGAGAGCGTGTTGTTGCATTACAATGAGCTTCTGATGTAATTCCTATGTGGTAATTGCTGAACATTTGTATGTGTAGGCAAACAGTGGCATGATGTTGCTTTTCCTGACATGAGGGAAATTCACTTATGTTGCAGTAAAAACCTGAAGAATTACTTTCCAGTGACTGATCTCTCTCTCTCTCTCTCTCTCTCTCTCCTGTCTCTCTAATCCTACCATCCACAGGGGAGACTGGTATTGGAAAGTCTACGTTAATGAACACACTCTTCAACACCATGTTTGAGAACGAAGAGGCGAGCCATTATCAGAATGGAGTGTACCTGCGGCCGCGAACATACGACCTGCAAGAAAGCAACGTCCACCTCAAACTGACGATTGTTGACACTGTTGGCTTTGGTGATCAGATCAATAAAGAGGATAGGTGAGCACAGCTGAGCCCCTTTCTACACCAAGTCTGTGGCAAACTGATTTTGTTTGTTATAGTTATAAATGGAAATCAGTGTATAAATGGAATCACAGTAGCCTACTATATGTGCATCCAGCTTCAGGTCTGTGTTTCTGTCTGTGTACAGTGCTACACACGCACACACACAAGGCAGAAAACTGGCGGACAACTCCTGCATTGAATGGGCAGTGTAAAAGGGGCTAATGATATGATAATAGATGATGCTAAGGCAAATTTTCCTGTCAGTCCTTATCCAAAAAGCCCTGCTTTCTATTTGCAAGATAACACCATAATTTCTTCTAAACTAGGTCCAAGTAGCCTAGAGAAACATACACAATATCAGTCCAGCTTTCTGCGCATGTTGCTTTTTTTTAGTAGGATGGAAATAGGATGAGGAAATAGTTGTTGTTGTTGTTTTTTTAAATTCAGACAGAGGACGGAGTGTTCTTCTTGTGACCTAGTCGGTAAACAGCACTGTCACGCGCCAGCGTTCACTGTAGACCGTACAAACCAACATGCTGAAGGACAGACCCTGCAGCGCTCTTTGAATGCAGTCCACAGAGGAGAAGGAAGATATGGTAGATGTGGCGGGAGAGGACAAATGACTGTAAACATTCAAGCCGCAGGTGTCTCCTAACAAGATCAGTGCGATTGTTGCCTAAACATATTTGAGCTGTCTTATGACCAAGTCAGGTGACTGTTTTGGAGTTGAAGAACTTTAAACCACCTTGCGTAAAGAAACTGTACTGCTGCATTAACAAACAAAAACAAGGTTGCATTTGTAATAAAGAACATTTGAAATTTGAGATTTGAACTTGAATGTACTGCAGAATCAGAGGCATTTTCTTTCTACCCTGAGCAGTGTGTCTTGTTTTGAGTCCCCATGTGAAGCATGTTATAGTGCATCTCTATGGAAGAACTCAAAATATGCGTCATGCCATCATCAATGTGTTAAAGAGTCTCCAGTTCCCTCTCTGCAGCAATCCCGGTGTGTCACCTCAAAGTGTATTCTGATGGGTTTTTGAGCATTTTTTTGTGGCCCCTAAATAATCACTTATTTTCCTTGATTATTGATTCATGCCAGAGTTGGTCCTTAAGAATGCCAGCCATACACAGTGTTGTGGATAGCTAAAAAATATCAAGCGTCTGCCTACACATACAAACCTCTCACAAGCAAATACTGTAAAACTGTGACATTTTCACACAGCAAATTTTTCACAGATTTACTGTGACACTGTTGGCTCCACGGGCTATTTGTTTGTGTGTGTGGGTGGGGGGTGGGGGGTGTATTTCAACCAGATTCTCCAGTGCTCAGCTGTATAGCTCTAAGCTGAGATCTTGGCACAGAACCAGATCACACGGTTAGAGAAAACATAGCTGTCTCAATTCATTTCCCTAGTGACAAATCCATATTTCCTTTTATATGCATTGCCAGTGCATGAATAATAAGACAAATATTTAGCTTTTACCCTAAAATATAAATCCTCACAGATTCTTTTTGGCTGCCTCCACAGTTACAAGCCCATTGTTGACTACATCGACACTCAGTTTGAAAACTATCTTCAGGAAGAGCTGAAGATCAAACGCTCACTGTTCAACTACCACGACACCAGGATCCATATCTGTCTATATTTCATCGCCCCCACAGGACACTCCCTCAAGTCTCTGGACCTCGTCACTATGAAAAAACTTGACAGCAAGGTATACACGATCAACACACTGGCATACATCCATATGATTTTCCCTTTTTGGCTAAAGCACTCTCAGTTCTTTCTCAGTGTCTGTGAATAGTATCAGTGTTGCTGAAATCCTACCGCCCTTTCACTGTGACCAGTGTGCATTTCACTGACATGTGAAGATCCCTGATCTGTTTACAGGGTGTGGGCTCTCCCAAAAGGATAAAGCTAAAAGAAAACTGTCTCAGTGAATGTACACATGCACATGCCATTCTGTGGCTTTTTCTGTGGAAAATGATTGAGGTTTAGACTTTAACAGCTTAGATTTTTGGGAAGGCATGGGATACAGCTTATATGTTATTAGGTCAACACACAGCTGTATACCAGTCAATAATCACAATCAGCACCACACTGATTTGTGACTTTTTTTATTGCCCTTGTGTGAATATGACTGCACAGATTATTGGTCGCTGGTTCTCGGGTTTGTTCTGCATCCAGTCAGCTGCAGCGTTCAGACACAAATCCTGGCTTGGCCTCAATTAGGAAATGGGAGGATAAAAACCTCATCACAGCAGCACTTGAAGCTTGAAGGTTAGTGGGGAAGGACAGAGTCAGAAAGGGCAAGTAAATGAGTTTTAAGGTCTAAACTAGAACAAGTTTGTATTTGTCAAAATTTAGTAGTTTAATTTTTGAGAATTCTTCAGTGTTTAGTGTTTATTGCTGGCATTTCCCTTGATTTTTTTCCTATTTAAAGTTGTGTGGCTACTGCTGCTTATGCTACCTACCAGATCCCTTATTTCTAATGAATTCTCTACATACACCTTAAGTTGTTGATGTTTTCTTTGCGCTTGATAATACACAAGTGAATTCAGCCTGATTTACATTTTCATAAAGTGCTTTTGTAAACAGGTGAAACAACCATGAATAGTTCATGGTTTCAAAGTGTGGGAAATGTGGAAATTCAGGAAGGTAAATGATCCTCAAAACATTTCAGAGCACATATTCATAAGAAGAGAATGAGTGACAGGGAAGGGGGCAGATAAAAAATGAAATGGTGCATGTTTATGTGTTAGCTCTGTATGTGTTTAACTTGAAGGCCAGTAAGGACTGTTACCTGTTAGGAAGATGTAACATCTCGTATTGATTAGGAAATGTTTATTTGATTTTATGTGTATATGTTTGTTTACATCCAGTCTATAACACTGTAAGGTTCACTAGCTGAGTTTTATTATCAGTCAAATTTAATTTCAGCTCCCTGAGGTTTTGCTTTCTGCCTCCTCCATATTTGCATGTATATAAACTGCTGTAGGAATGACAAAGTGGCAGCTTTAGTCCTGTTTGTGTTTGTTGATGTAATAATAATAAAGCCAGACGAAAGCAGATGGTCAGCTTGTGAATGAAACCTGCTGGACTACCTACCTCTGCCAATTATCAACGCACGGCTGTGCATCTCTGCCAAATGTCCCAGAACAATGAGCCATGTATCTTAGCCAACTGTCGCTCCTAAGGGACAGTTAATAGTTTTATGATTTCAGAAAAATATTGTAATCAAGTGTCTCTTGACTAGACTTTGCAGGTCTTGGTGGTGTTGCATCACTGTTTGCAGAAAATATTGTGCATTTTTTCCATTTCCAAGAGAAACTGTGTTAACATCTGTTCAAATAAAAAATCACCAAAATCTGTTATTTATCAAGGGGTGCCTAAACTTTTGCATAAGACTGTATATATATATATGAGGGAGAGAGAGACAGATACTTTTTACTCAGATCCAAATTCAGCACTTTTCTTGCTGTGCGGTGACCGTGCTGACCACTGAGCCTCTGTGCTGTCTTTACCAGCCAGCAAAGAGATTGAAACCTGGCACGCTATATTTGCTGACTGTCTCCGGATGCCATCCAAACCACCACAGCATCCACTGCCAGCTCTCTGTTCACCCTGCTTTGAAGCAAGCCATGGCAACTTACCTGAGTAAAATATATTGACGTTATCCCTTTAGAGACACAAGACAGTTTCCATGAGCTATATGGCAACTTACCCGCTAGATTCTCCCCTAATAAGAGGGAAAGCAAAGCAGCCTACCCCGGCTAAACTGGCCCACCATTTTATATGAATAAAACTCTCATGTGAACCTCCAATGTGGCAGTCTTAGCCTGAGTGGGTGGCCACAGTGAACACCACTCTGACCTCCGATGCAATATTTACAACAGCTACTGGCCACATAAGTCTTTGCACATGTTGCAGATTTACATCTATGACTTCTAAGCTCTCGACAGCTACAGGTGGACCACAGAAATTACCTAGGTTGCCCAGTGAAGTCGCACATTAAGTAGGGCTTAAGAGTAATTATTTTAAGTGTTAATTCATTGTACAGTTTATTTATCAAGTAGTTGATTCACTTTTAAGTACAGAAAAATGCCTCTCATCTTTTCACAGGTTATTAGTCCATCCACCACTCCAAAGCCCAACTTTATACAACTATTAAACTAGGAAAATCATCAAGTCCTCATATTAATCAAGCTGAAATTAGTGGTTTTTTACTAGATCAGTGACTGAAATGATTATCAGAATAGATGGTGATCAATTTTTCTGACAATCACTTGAGCACTAAATTAAATGATAAAAGCAAAGATTGAAGTCCAAACACAATTCCACATACAGTATGTTCTGTTTTCCATGAATAGACTTCACTGACATGAGACATTTAAAATCTTCATGGGAACAAATCACGGTCCACAGTCACATTTTTGCTTTTTGTGCAGTGTTATATTCATGCCAAAGGAAACATTTGTGTATGTGAATATTAGCAACTATTTGGAAACTAAAGATAAATGAGCAGAGCTGTCCTGTCTGACAGGGAGCCCTGTCACAGGGAAAACCAGGGAAGCAGACCAGAAGCAGCTTTTCCCCCAGACTGTAGATTTTGCTGTCAGGGCTAGACAATGGTGTTTTTCTTGTAAATGGGGAACAAATCACGCCTCCCTACAGAGTATGGTTGAAGTCCCACCAGAATGAGTGTGGTCTGTGGTGGATGAAGGCAGGAAGCAAGATAAGTGTCTGAACAAGTTGTCTTTTGTTTTAAATAAGGATTTTTTTTTCTTGAATAGGTGGAATCATTACCAGTTAATAGTAGAATGTAGGATTTTGTTTGTATCATTTGGATAACAAGGACTAATATTTACTACTAACATTTAAAATGCTGCATAATTTGCACTAATAGTACACAGTGTTTTTCAATTATTCTTTTTGGTTAGCATTGAATCAGAGGTTGTAGTTGACTGGTACAAATCTGACAGACATTGATACACATCCCTCAAATGTATAAGAGATAAAAGTTACAAAATCTGTTAGACTTGCACTGTTTTTGGCATTACTAAGGCTCAAAATATATCGGCATTATATTCCTTGGACACTGACACTCTATCCTCTCATATACAGATATTTATTCTGAACAAGATTAAACTAATAAGTGATTATTGTACATGTGAACTGCTTTGATGTGGCTACAGCTGCCAGTCAGCTGCTCCTAGTTATTCAGAACAAACACTAAGAACTAATAGTAGCCAGGTGAAAAAACTAGGTTTTAGGAAGTGAACAAGACATTTAACTCCCATCTGCTTCAGTGGCCACACAGTTGAGAGTGGTGTTATCTGTTGTTAACCCTGGATAGTGATTAGTGACTTGTTAAAACATGATACTGGCCACCCTGCTGCAAATTAATGATCCAGTTAAGTATGATGAGCCTGTAATTTGATTCCTACAGTGGCAGGCTCTGGCTCTTGCTCTGAGGCGCACTATGGAACTGATGAGTGAATCTGTGGGAATCCTCCTTGTTCTCCCAGTTAGTGATGCGGCCGCACAGAGGAATGCAGACAAACTATCTGTTTATTTCTGCACATCTGCTCCTGATTGGAGAAGGAGTCTAGTTTGTTTTCATAATCACTGTTTGCTTTATGTATCTGTTGGGGATCTGACTGAGCTTATTCACGGTACAGTTTGGCTGAATATGGTCGTGTGTGCTTCCTCAGTCATAATTAGATTGCTTAGTTTGGTTTTTGTTTTTAATTGGGTCTTCAGAATGTTTAATTTAGCTTTTTTTAAGGGAGGTTAATTGCTTTAATGTGTAATTCACTGAAAACAGTGGTTTGATTGTCTGTGCATCTGCTTTCAACATATTGATCTTGACAGCTATTGTCCCATTTTGTCTTGTTGGCTGTGATCATCATCATCAGGCATGAAGATGCATCTTACACCAAACTATTACATAACAATTCAATACACTTGCCACAAAGCAGCGTTCAGTGCTTACACATTTTTTGGTAGACTTCACCATAAAAACAGGAGTGGTACAATGCTCTACACATTTAATAGTTTTGTTTATATGAGTACAATCACCCTCTTCTCCCCCCTCATCCTTTCCTCAGGTCAACATCATTCCCATCATTGCCAAAGCAGACACAATCTCCAAGAGTGAGCTCCATAAGTTCAAAATTAAGATCATGAGTGAGCTCGTGAGCAACGGTGTCCAGATTTATCAGTTTCCAACTGACGATGAAGCAGTCAGTGAGATCAACGCCTCCATGAATGTAAGTCGAGCATTATAAATTCTCACACCAGCCAGTTGGTTTCAGCTCGCCACCTAATTTTTGAGGTTGCTTATCGGGCATGTTTCCATGTTTTCCCCAAGATGCCACACTGTCGAACCTAATGAGGCTCAACAGTTTGGAGAGCAATAAGAAAGTGTCTGTGTCTGTGTGTCTAATCACCTCAAAAAATAGGTCTCTAAGCCCCAACTGAGCCACATGTTAAACATTAAACAGAGTTGTGGTGCAGTTCACATATCAACACGGTCACACTTTGCTCTGGTGTGGTGTGGTTGTGAAAGATAAGAGATGTCAGCCACAGTGAAACGCTCCATTCTTATGTATCCTTTTTTGTTTTATCATTGCTATAACTCAGTGTGTTTGTGTCTAGTGAAATGTAGCTTGTTAAATGGTTGCTGTGCTATAAAAATATTGGCATGAAGTGACTAGGAAAATAATTTTTAACCAAGTGTAACTCAGAGGACAGAGAAGAGGAAACCAGGATTCAGTCCATGGCTATGTGTCTGTTACACCTGTGACCTTGTGACCTTTTTGCTAATTTAACCTCTTTTCCTGTGCAGGCCCATCTGCCATTTGCGGTGGTCGGTAGCGTGGAAGAGGTCAAAGTGGGAAACAAAACAGTGAGGGCCAGACAGTACCCCTGGGGAGTTGTGCAAGGTGAGAACAGTCCACAAGCAAGTTAATCGGTATGTGTTTGTGTCTGTTTCTCAAGCAAATGCAACTGTGAGTACATGAAGGGGTCAGCTGATGTTTAACCCATTTCTCTACTTTGGACTTTGGATAAAAAAAAAAAGACACTTGAAAATGTCTCAATGGCTTCTAGGAAATTTAGATCACTGTTTGCTGACATTTTATACACCAAAATATTAATTGCTTTAATCATGAAAATATTCAGTGGATTTATCTCCAAGTCAAATAATTGTCATTTGCAGCCTTGATCCAATTTAAATTAGTTGTTTTGCACATATGGCGAAATGGTACGTTATATACCATAAGGCAACAGCTGATCAACCCATTGATCAGTACCCATGGTGAAAGATGTTTCCTGCTCATGACAGAGTAGTGAGTGCATCCAACAGTTTTCCTGTTTATACCTGTCCTCTTAATGTGGAGTGGCCTCCACGGCTGCCTGCAAGTTTGACTCCGTGCAGAGTGACACTACAAAATGAAGGCAGTGTGTGGGTAGGGCTTGCTTTGGAAAATTGCCTGTGTGTGTTTGTGTGTGCTTGTGATTATATGGTGTTGTATGTCTTTCTTTGCATGTATGTACCATACTGTACATTTCTCTGCCTTTTGTTTATTTGCGTGCATGTGATGCACATCATCTCCTGCGTCAGGGATTTTGGGATCTTTATTTCCCAACAGCTCATTCCTTTGCGTTTGTCAATGAGGATAAACAATTTAATGTAATAATGTCAGAGTTATGCTGTGAGAATGCTAGTCCTCAGATGGGAGTTGCACTCTCAGGGAAGGTCTTTCTCTCCTTCGTCCCCTCCCTCCATCTCTCTCTTCCTTCCATTCTTTGTGTCCTTGCTGACTCTTCCTTTCCCCTCTCCATCATCCACTGACCGCTCTCATTCCCCAACCCTCAGAGGACACTCTGTGGTTATTTATAAAGCTTGCTCTGTGTCTCCTGTGGGACAGACCCCTCTGGATTCCATCAGTCACTGTGAAACTATAGTTCAGTCCAGTAGCGGACAGAATAGAGTAGTGTACAGAGAATTATTTTGGCTCTACTATAAGCTCATTTCATTGGGGTTCTATCACCAAGGATATTTCTTATTTTATCATTCTTCAGCTACAATTAATGTGATGGAAAGACTTATACCTAGGCAAAAGTAAAAAAAAAAAAAAAATGAAAGCAGACTATCTTTAAAATGTTGATTATTTCAGAGAATCACAAAATGCCAGATGTTGTCTTCTAGAGGAGAAACAGACAATGTCTATTTAAACAACAAATGATTAATTATGGGAGAAACTATTGGTACTTTTTTGTTTTGTTCTTTTGGTTTTGTTGTCTGCATCTGATTATCTTATCAAGGGTGTCCATCTCTGCTTAACAACAGTCGACTGATAGCAGTTGACGCAAGAAAACTACTTTTTGTGTAGTAAGGCACATTTGGAAACTGATGGCTCGTCATTCATACGACCACTGGTCATAGTGTCTGAAGAGAAAGGCAGAAGAGGACAGAAATGTGAGTGTTTTTGGACAATCACCCGCCTGAAAGGAGGGTCTGTGTCAGTGGAAACACTCTGTAGACGCCAAATGTCAGAGGAATGGGTTATGGTAACCTCTGAAAGAGCCATGGGAAAGTTCCAAGGAAGACAGTAGAAGGATTGTCTCCAGACAACTAGAGTAACTGAAGGGGTCGGTGTGTGTGTGTGTGCATGCTTATCTTCTCTCAGGATTTTGATGCTGTGTTATCTCTGAATTTCTTCTCTGCAAGCTACTGTGTGTTTGTTCAACTGCACACATAATGGGTGTTTGTAAGTGAACACTGTCATTCATCACTGACTTCAATTCATTTAATGCATTTAATTCTCAGCTGTTTCTTTTGGTTGTAGTATTTTTGGAAGGATAGTTTAGGGCTGGATGGGATTGTTAAAAAAATCAGTATATATATCACAATATGGCAAATGTATACAAGACAAACGTGATGCTGTTGAAAAGCTAGCAGCAAATATTTGCCATTTATTCTTGAAAATGACTAGTTTTTTTTATTGTCAAAATAGTTGCAGATAAATTTTTTTTAACAGACTAATCCCTCAGTCAACAAACACCATGAAGAATGTGTAGGATGAGCAGCATGCTAGCAGAGCAGCTGCAGCCCTGTTGTTCCGTCTGTCCCTACCACAGGAGGTAGTCTGGCATAGTACTGATTTTAGGTCACCTGCTTTATGGAAACTCTCAGAGCCCAAAACACAATTACTGTAGTTACATGTGTAAAATGAAATAAAATAGCCTTGAAGCATAAAAATCAGAGAAGTGAGGATGATGGAGTTGGAAAAAAACACCTGTCATCTGTGTAGATGTGCAGTAAATGTTTCAGCTCAAGACAAAACTGTTCATATATGTAAAATAAAAACTGCTTTTATTTAAATGTGTCAGAAATGATTAAGCTAGATAATTCCAATAAAGGGGATATATATGAAAATATAGAACTTTCACTAGGCCCAGGGTTATGCTACTGGTTAACCTGCTTGCAAAGTGATGACAATCCATAATCACTCATTTCATCCACGTGTCCTCAGAATGCAAAGTCATCAGCAGCTTTATGCACGAGTGAAAGTCAGGAATGGACTAGTAATAAACAATAGGCCTGATCTTTTCACTCCCTCCAGCTCTTGAGATTCACCACCACACATGGAGACAGTGTTTGGCAAAGCTTGAATAAAGAGAGGGTAGATTAATTTCTTTGAAAAACAATGGGGTCATGTTCTGAAGGTCTGTACGGATGAAAACAGACTGATAGAAATAAATAATTATGTAGTTGAGATAATGCTGTGTCGACCGCTGAACCCTTGATTAAAAAAACAGCAGCAGATGATCAGCCAGAGGCAAAAGAGTGAACTCGGTTCATTCATGTAATTTAATTTTGCTCATTTGTCTACTTTCATTCATTGTGTTACAACATGTCTCTGCTCTCCTCTGTTTGTATGTTTCTGTTCTCATGTTGTGTTTGTGTGTCTGCAGTCTTGTGCTCAGATACAGTGCCTGCAGGGCTCAGTGCTGCAGTCTGTCAGAGGACTGGCCCTCACTCAGGCCTCAGCGGGGGAGCCAGTATAGAGAGACTATTAGATGCCAAATGAACATGCAATTTCAGTAGCTTGGATCCAGCCCAGAGAACAGCTCACGTCTGGTTTTACTTGTATTCTCCCACTAATGATATGTGGTTGCCCAGCAAATTGGAGTAAGAATAAGCGTGAGGGATTCATACAGCTGCATCACCACTGTGATTTCAGAGCTTTTAAAGATGTGTTTTGGGTCTAGTTGTCCTAGTTTGTTGAAGGAGAGTTTTATTCCTTAGTTGATTCTTGATGCACTGCAGCCTGCCTGCTTTCCCTTCATCCGGACAAGCTCCATGCCAGGCTAATTGGGTGCTTTCAGCACCGTTATTGCTGTTGTTACGTTCTCAGAGCCCAGGGCTTGTGGTGGTATTTAAACGCGACATACAGCATTACCCTTCACCATCACTGCTACCCCAGGCATGGCATGTATTCCAGCCCATGACAGGCCATATGCCTTCACTCTGCACGTGCACTTGGCCACCACACATATCAGATTTGTGACAGCACAAAAACCCTTTTTATCATATATTCTGAATTTTGCTAACAGGTTGATCACATTTTCTTACTGAATGGAGGCAGTCATTTCTACTTTGACTGGATCTAGTTACTAAAAGTAAGGGCATTGTTTTCTTCCAGGTCACAAACTGGAGATTCTGGCTTCATGGCACTCTTCATTTTCCTCTGACTTCTGAACTGTCCAGACAGGCAGGACATTTGGGCATTACACACCCAAAGTAAATTGTGCTGAAGGCAGCTAGAAGCCAGAGTACACTTAGGTTAAACAAACTAAAAAACAGTGCTGATCTTTCCCAAAGCCTTTATTGAACATATCCATTAAACATACAGAGTGATGGACATGAAAGATCATGACTTATCTGTCTTATAAAAGTGCACACAGTGCCTTTACTTTTTCTTGTGACTGTATGTTTTAGAGGGTCACTCGTTTCTTGTTTTTCACAATAATACTACTACTAATAAGTAATAATAATACTTGAAAAGTGCAACACTGGAGCGAGAGAGAGGCTTAGGATGTTCACTCTCCTCAAAAAAGTGCATAGGACAGAGTTTCAGTCCTTTTTTGTTGAGTTTCTCCAGCATTATCAGCATTGTTACTCTTGCTATAGGGATTTATAAGTCTCTCTAAAGGACAAATGTCAGTTTTTTAGCATAATCTTAAGTCGTTGAATCATATTTTATTGGTAAATTTATTCCTCAATTTTCTGCCACTTATCTGAGTCTAGGTTGTGTTCATTTATTTAAATGTATCATAAAGAATTATTGCTTTAAACTTAAAATGTGATATAACAATACATTTTAGTCCATATCATCCCTACGGATAATACATAATTCTTTAATACTTTGGCCTGTACGAATTTGAAACAGCTATTAAATTGCATTTAATGCGGTTTTGGAAAGGTCTGTAAAAGCCTTAAATTTAACTTGGTCAACCCTGCAGAAACATTGTGGCTGAGCATTAGCAGCAAATGTATTACTGTGTTTCCCACTGGTTTTCCCCACCATGATTTCATTTAACTGTGAGAGCCACTTGGACATGGAGCGGATTGAAATTGTTAGAGTTGCCCCAGCATTGCAAATTTATCATCTCCTGTTTTTAGAGAACTGTTAGATTCTCTTTAGTTTAACGGAATCCAAATGTGATTCATCCAGCGTATTTTATGCTGAGTACTTCACATTCCTGTAACGATGTGCTGTAATTTCCTGTTTTTGAGACAGAGATGGAGAGGAAGGAAGGGTAGGGTGACAGATGGGGTGTTAAAATATGTTCAAAGCAGTGAGGAGTACAGCCAGACACAGAATGAAACGTGAGAAGCAAAGATTCAGAACTTGCAACAAAACAAGTGCACATCTGCAGCTTTGATGTACTTGTACAGGTCTTAAACAGCAAGGCAAAATTTGCCAGCCTAATGTGTATGAAGAAGAACTAATATGACCACCTGAACTGCAACTGCTGTCCTGACTATGGTGTGTGTGTGTGTGTGTGTGTGTGTGTGTGTGTGTGTGTGTGTGTGTGTGTTTCCTGTTTAGTCGAGAATGAAAGCCACTGTGACTTTGTAAAGCTCAGAGAGATGCTGATCAGGGTCAACATGGAGGACCTGAGGGAGCAGACCCACGCTCGTCACTACGAGCTGTACCGGCGCTGTAAGCTGGAAGAGATGGGTTTTAAAGACACGGACCCCGACAGCCAGCCTTTCAGGTAGAGAGGGAGAGATGGACACGCAGTAGACACATTCACTGTGTGCATGGAGAGTGACAACACACGCTCTAAAATCCCTAACCACAGACATACCACAGTGTCAGGAGCAGGGGGAGGTTCCTTTGTTTACGGGCAGTAGCTCTTCTATTTTTGGATGTTTTCACACTCGCTCTTTTCTGCGCTTTCTTTTCTTCTCTCCAGTCTCCAAGAGACATATGAGGCCAAGAGGAAAGAGTTCCTGGGGGATCTGCAGCATAAAGAGGAAGAAATGCGACAGATGTTTGTCAACAAAGTAAAAGAGACGGAAGCAGAACTGAAAGAAAAGGAGAGAGAGGTCAGTCTCAGGTGAAACTATGGTTATAGTCACAGTAACCACAGATATGCACAGAAATGTTCATATAACGCCACATCACCAGAGGCACTTTTGTAAAAGATGTGGTAATTTGGGACAATAGCAGCACCTTTTTCAGAAACTCAGTGTGACTGCAGCCTGTTGCACTTTGGATGACATTAAACGGCAAACAATCTTATAGATCTCAGTATATTACACAATAACAGTGCTTTGCTACATCCTGTTGGAGTCACAGCACTGGTAAAATTAAACATGATCTTTCACCAGGGAAACTATCACACTGGGCTTTAAAGCTGCATTTTTATGGCCATTTGTGGGCAGCAGAACAACCTGTAAACACAGTGTTGACATCAACTTTATAAAGCTGTTATGTTTTCTCATATTACACAGTTGACACATTCAGTAGCCATGGACTAATATTAGCATTCGTGTGTGTGTGTATTTCTATTTCTTTTGTTTTTTGTTTGTTTGTTTTTTTTTACTTATGAGAAAAATGTCTAGTACTCCAGCAGCTAAATGTGTGAGATTCTTTACACCTAACTGCTAACTTTGTCTGCGGTTTGGAGCTGAGCAGGAAGGGTACAATGGCTTTATTAAGCTTTTGCTGTGGAAATAGGGTTATTGAGAACTGAGGTATGGGCTTTAACACCAAAACAGTGTCCCATAACAGACTACAGTGCTGTGTAGAGCTGGAGGAAACAGCAGATAGGTGGTAATTCTTTATGACTTTATTACTATGAATGGCCCCTTTCACTTCACACAGTCATTTGATCCCCTGTTTATATATATTTTTGAACTTAAAGGGTGCTGTTCATCTTCTGTCTTCTGATTCTATTTCCTTTTCTGTTTGTTCTCATGTCTTTCCTCTGTCATCCTGTTCGTGTCCGTGGATCACATCCCTCTCAGCTGCATGACAGGTTTGACCAGCTGAAGCGAATGCACCAGGAGGAGAGGATGAAGGTGGAGGACAAGCGGAGAGACCTGGAGGAGGAGATGAATGCCTTCAACAGAAAGAAAGCGGCATCCGAGACGCTGTCCTTAACTCAGCACCTCAAGAAAGACAAGGACAGGAAAAAGTAAGATGATCCTTCTGAATTTCCTCAGACTTCTTTTCCATAACAGGGAGATGCTTTTCCAACCCTGCTTCGCCCATTAACCAGTCCTGTTTGTTTTTTGTGCCTTAAATCCTGAGATTATTTCCTTTTTTTGTATACACGCCTCTCTCACTTTTCTCACACTTCTCTGTTTGCTCTTTAGCCCCTGCTACAAAGCTTTATGCAGGAGGTGTGCATTCTGCTGAGTCCGTGGCAAAGTGTCACATTAATGAGCCTTAAATTGAAAGTGCTGTGCTGCTGTCTACCTGTCTCCAACACAGGCATTTCAGCTATTATAAAGGCCTGACATGTGTTAAAGAAACTTCTTCCCCATTTTGTCCCGCCTAAGCTTAACATTTCCTGTCCTTTCACTCTTTGCTGTTGCCTTGCTCTAATTATTCAGGATATTCAGAGAGGAGGCGGTGGACTTGCTCAAAAGTTTGGCTTATAATTAGGTAACTCAGGGTACAGCTCACACAGGGTAAAACAGATTTTCAGTGATGAGAGTGTATACCATGTATTGATGATGGAACACGTATAATACAGGCCTTTCATCTTTTAGCTCATTAGCCACACATCACGCATATTTGACTTTACTGCAGGCCGTTTTCCAAGGCAGGTGATTCTGTATTTATTACATTCAAGGGGCACTCTGCTCCTTCTGGTTCATTTGGTCAAAGGTATGTAGACAGACATGTCCACATGCGTTTGTGTACCTTTGATCTGCGGCTGTTTTTCCTGGTCTAGGGTAGTACGCTTCTGAGTTCCAGTTAAGGAAAATTGTAATGCTACAGCAGACCGTCTTTAAGACAGTAGGTGTGCTTCCAGTGTCGCACTTGACTGGCCCACACAGAGCCCTGTCCTCAGCTCTGTCCAACACCTTTGGATGAATTGAAGTACTGACTGTGACCAGGCCTCAGTGTCTGACTACAGTAATACTTTTGTGAGAACAAATCTCTGTAGCCAGCTTCCACAGTCTTTTGAAAAACCTTAAGAGTGCAGGCTGTTACAGCAGCGGACTAATGTCAGTGGCTTGGTAATGACAACTTCAGCCACATACGGATTCATGGGTTCAGGTTCAGGTGGTAACTTACTTGTTGCCATTTAGTGCAGCTCATGAGTATAGTACATTTCTAGAGCTTGAATGTTGGAGACTCAATATATCATTTTCATGAATGACTTATTCAAGGCAGCGTTAATTTTCAAGATGTGCTGACGACAACCGAAGCTAATGGCTGCCTGGGTCTTTAAAAATGATTTGAAAACACATGCAGTGTGGTGTGATCTGCACATGACTTGTAGTCACGCCAGTCATACTGTCTGAGGTTGAACATCTAAGGTCTGATTCATGTGAGGATGTGGCTCCATCTTGTGGCTGCTCACCCCTGGGGTCAGTGCAGGCAGCTGATCTTCCATTTTGTGGTTTTGTGAAGGGGTTCCTGCACATCCTTAGTGTTCTGTTTGTGTTTTATGCCATCTCTTGAGTCTGATGATATTTTACACTTGAGAAAACATATTGACAGTGTTCCAGATACAATGCAGCATTTCAGAGAACACAGTCTGGTGATGCCAGAAGAGAACGTCAAGCTCCCCTTGCAGGCAGATTACGTGATAGTGAATGTAGTTGTAATCGCTCATGCTTTCTGTTTACTAATGCGAGCACTGGTATTTATTTACTTTGTGCATCAATGCTGCTTTCTTAGTTGTCTGTACAATTAAAAATGATATTATTTATTATGCATTACCTAATTGTTTATTCATTCAATTTATTTTGTTTATTGTTTGTCATTGTTTTTCAGTTAATTTATGGGCGCTGTTTACCCTCCCACACACGACCATGGATGTGTCCTCCATCACCATAGCACCGGCAACATTTTTTATTTTATTTTTGTTTGTCTGTTTTTGTTTTTTTGACATTCCATTTTGACATGCACATGGACCAAAGACACTAAGGATGATGATGATCTTGATGAAGTCACAGGGGAGAAAAGATGGTGAGAGATAATGAGAAAAAATTGTTCACTTACCAACAGCGGTCATCTATCATTTATTCAGGATCTTTCATTCTATGTTTATTTTAGACACTTTTTTTTACATATATGCATTTTGTTTTTTTATGTTTTGAGTTTGAGATTTTCTGCAGGTTTTTGTGTTTTACCATCAACCATTTACATAGAAACAACAGATTAAAATCCTTCAAGCCTTTGTTGGTACTACACTTTCATACACCTGAGTAAAATAATATATTTAACAAAATTGGAGATGAGCTTGATTTAAATTGAAGATCTCTCTCAAAGGTTTCTAAATATCTGAACTGTTTGAAATGTTATGCAGGTGTGCTGTAGCTGTTTAACCTTTTTGTAGTCATTGGAATTTAGATTAAATACATTTCACAGTAGTACAATAGATCCCTGTATCGAATGAGCCCAAGTAATCCACTTAAATAACATTGTCAAACAATAAACTGAGTACCTGTATACAGTATTGCATATATTGCTGCATATACATAGGTACTGACAACCTAAAACTTAGTCTTAAACTTAATAAAAAAATATGCAATATTCTTCTGCTGCTTCATATTAACTCACTAAATGTATGTGAATATTTTTAGAGCTTGCCCATCTTAATATGCAAAATGTACTCATTTTTGAATATATTATTGTAAGAAGCACACATGACTTTGTCCATAAGTGATGTAACTTGTTTGTGAACAAGAGAGATAACCTTTGAGTGTTGCGGCACTGGGGACACAGAATTACATGAAGCCAGTATGCACACACATACACACACACACATACACACACACAAGATTCAGGAAAACGTATAAGCTCCGGCTCAGTGTAGAAGAGTTTACACTCAGATGAAGAGAGCAGCTGTATTTACTGTGTATCAATGGAAATAAACATAAACCCCCTCCCGACATCGACATGTCTCACTGCTGTAGTTTATTTGATGACTTTCAACCAGGAGGGAAATGAAATGCAGGCAGGTGAAGACACGTATTCCAGCTTCAGCAGCTGTCAGCTTGATCGCTGTGACCGTTTCCTGTGTTTAGCTGAAGATCCATGTAACTTCTGCCCAGTCTGCACATAGTCTGCACTGCTTTTGCCACTGTGCTGTGTTAGCCAAAGGTGTGAAGGAAGAAATGTGCATGTCTGTATTAGCACTTTAATGCTAATGCTGTTGTACTTTTAACATTTCAAATGCATAACTTTCATTTGTAACAGAGTTTTTTTTTTTTACAGTGCAGTATATTGCTACTTTTACTTAAGTAAATCGTCTCAATACTTCTTCCACCACTGGACAAAACAAGAGTATGCATTTTCATTTTCTTCATATGACGCAGGACTAAACGTTGCAGCCTTTCAACCACAGGAAGGCTTCTCCAACCTGCTGCTGTCTTTTCATGTTAACAAACCAGAAAAATGACACCTTAGACTTTAAGTCACAGCTTTTATTTCTGTGTTCGACAAAATAAGAGACAGCTGCCTCAGTATCTGAAGGAGTATAAACAAACAAACAAAACCTTTACATTAGTCACTGGTGTAGCATCCAGTTGGACTTTAGAGTTGAGAAATCAAACAGTAACCAGTTCACATAAAAAAATAACTGCTCTGGCCAAACCATTAAATTATATTTACATTTTACCATGGTTTGGCAGCATTTCAGTCTACATGGGCTATATTTACAAATTTAAATAGAATACCTGTATCCCAATACTTCAATATCAATAATGTGAAAACATTTTGGGTTGATTAGGCATTTTTGTACAGTATGTAATAGAACAAAATATTGCTGGATCACTAATCTGATGATCTCACAATGTCAAAATGACCCTTTCTGCTCTAGTATTGAACTCATCTCTCCAAGATGCTTTTGCTTGATATGTGACAACAGTTGCATAAAGTAAATCAACACAGGCTGAAGCATTAAGCCATGAAACTAAAGCTTTTTGGCAAAATGTAGCTTTTGTAAATACACAGCACAATTTTAATACAAGTATGTAAGAGATTAAAGTGATAAAAATATATAATTTTTTGCATTAAGAAAAGCTTGTCTTTTTTCTCAAAGTGCTATGTGGCTCTGGTGGGAGCCTGAGCACCAAGATGCCTCAACAAAATTAACTCTCAAACTTAACGGCCATTCCTGGCCTCAACCGTACTCAAAACAGACACACAAAAATTCACAACTACCCAAGTATCCTTTACCACCAACTTATTAAGACAATTTGTGGTGGACATAAAGGACAGGAAGGTTAAAAAGTAAGAAGTATATGGCATCAATAACAAGTAGAGGACTTAAGTGGACCAATAACTGCACCAAATTCTCCTCAACTACCGAGCTACGACACAGAACAAGTTATTGCATCATCATAAGAGGTGAACTCATACAGTGACATAGATTCACATTTATGCGAAGACAAGTGCACAGAACAGTTACTTAATTTGACTTTATCCAATCCAGAAATAATGCATTTCTACCTTTTATTCTTCCAAGTCTTATATGTAACCTAAATATTACAACAGGCGAGTAACATTTGGAAGTCATTAAGCCAGTCACCTCAGTAACAAGTGAAATGTACGACTGAGGCTCTAAAACATCCTAAATGTAGAATGAGAGCACTGTGCACCTGTAAGAGATGGATGGCACGAATAAACATCCTACTAGTTGACAGCCGGGTGCAACGGTGGGCATGGGGAGACGTCTGTCTGCTGGGAATCAAATAGACCCTCGACATGGCCTCCCTCCGCCCCGGGGCTCGTCTCCTCGCTGTACAAACACCTAAAACCATCATAATACTCATCCGAGTCCCCCTGTTCTCCTGCGCCCTGGCCCCTCCTGGTCTGGCTGAGGTGTTGTGTGGGGCTCCAGACTGGCTCCTCCTCCTGGATCTGAGTGCTGTTGAAGATGTAGACAGCGTTGGCTGGCAGGGAGAACTCAAGGCTGTGTAGGTACTCGTCCACCATCTCTTTGCAGTGGATGAACTCGGCACTATCAACCTGAGAGAGGGAAGGAACGGGTATATTTTGATCCAGCTTGGAGTATCTGACCTTGTAACATATGGTTTACTGACAAGTGCAGGTTTGTACACTGGCATCTGAAGTTGTATAATTTTGTCAAATCCGACTAAGATTTCTTTCAGTTTCCACACAGTGATCATGTTCAACCTCTTAAAACCACCTGATTGAAGCACCTTTCAGTAAAGCTGTCTGTGCTCTCTGGGGCACAAACTAATGGTTTCTGTATCGCCTCAGACTTATCGTTGGCATTTCTGTGCTGCAATTTATTATTTATTGACCAATGTTTGTGCTGATTGCAACATATCATTAGTAAACTAAAATCGACCAGTGAGAGACATGCTGTAATATTGATTGGACTTTAGTGTACATTTTCCCCATGGGTGCATTCAGCCCCCCAATAAAGATGTCATGTCACTCTCTCCTCACTCAAACATCAACTAGAATTAGGATAAGCCTTCCCAGGAGGCATGTGTATTTCTCTTACTTGTGCTTTCTTCAGCAGGTCAGTGAAGACGGAGAACCAGTCAGGCGTGAGCGCCTCCAGCTCCAAAGTGATGATGGCCAAGGCCAATGTGGAGCCCTTAAACTGCCAAAGCTGGTGGCAGGCCATACAGTGTTGCACCTGCCTGGTCCACAGTGCTGCCTGGAAGCCCGGAGGCCTCTTCTGATGCTCGGGCTGTGTGGGAAGCACGCCGGGGTTGGCTGTCGAACCCCAGCTGATGTCAGAGCCAAGCCCAATGGACAGAATGAGGTGGGGATGGCTGGAGACGAGCAGGGCGTGGAACTAGGATGGAGATAGAGAAATGATGATAAACTAGACGAAAATGTTAGTATAATGATGTCATTGTTGTCTCACTGTCCATTCATCCATCGCTTACCCCGTACCTCTGTCTTTACAATTCTTAAGTATTTAAAAACATCCAATCATGTATCAGTCATCACTTTGTTCTCACCCAGGCAGGACACTGTCTCTCCGTCATTCCTTAGGTTACAGTAAAGGTTCAAAGCTGAAGCTCTGTGCAGGAGGAAGCCTTGAATAACAGAGAGTCCCACTATCATGTTTTACTAATCAAGACCCCGGTTTGCCTGAGGGATAACTGTTTATCTTGCGTCATATGTGCAGTGCTTTTCTGTGTTCCTGTTTTTAGCTGGAATTTAAAATCGCAACCTGAACCCGAGTTCAGTGTAGAAAAAACTATGTACTTTGCCTTTTAAAAAGTTTCTTCATACTTTTATGAAACCATTTGTTAGCTGCTTTATTGAAACCAAGGGGCTCAGGCTAGCAAGCCAACTTTGTTCTTTGGTTTAAATAAAGAGTGCTAGCAAGATGTCGACAAGTGGCTGGTGAAGAAAATCATCCATTAGTTTGCACATAATGGTTTTTTTTTGTTTGTTTTTTTTTAGTTTCCTTAATTCATGCTTTGTTTAAGCCAAAATATATTATATATTTTGGCTTTGTTAAAGCCAAAATAAGCCATGGGTGTAGTTCCCTGGGAGGTAGATTGAGCGATGTGGTGTGAAAGTTGAAAAGCAGTCACTAAAACAGTTGCTCATCTTAGAACTCTCTAAAGTTTCTTCCTCAAGTTTTCCTTCTTTTGGAAATATAGGCAATTCAGGGTAATGTAGCAAGCAAAGAAAATGGTGTGTGTTTGGAGTTCATGATACAATCTCAGATGGTGAAAGATGTGATCTGATTCTGCCTTTCAAAGAGTCAGAGTGGAAAGTCTGTGACACGAGAGATTTTAATAATTGCTGTTTTATAGACAATGGAGAACAACACTATTTTGGAAGGGCAGGGGAATATGAATGTGAGCTATCTAATATAGTAAAAAGTATTTGAAAAATATTTATTTGAATAATATAGAAAGAGAAAATGTCTTTATTTTATTATAGTTTTTATTAATATGTTGTCTCTTTACTTTAAAAGTCTTGTATTTTGTATTACTTAGTGAAGTGCTAGGACAGTAACAGATCCACACTGTAAACCTGTGACACCAGTATCAGTCAGATCCACAAACCAAAAGTGAGGAACAGTGACACGAGTCAGTCCAGTTCACAAGACTTAACAAAGCAGGTGGGGGTATTTCCTGGGTGAGTAAATCAAGATCTTTTAATAAGCACTGTCAGATCTGTTTTACAGATGAATCGTGGCTGAGAAATCCTTCTCAGCAGAGAACCTTCCAAGTGTGGATCAATACAATGTGTGAACTATTTCTGCCAAGAAAATTACAGGCTGTCTTCATAAAGCATCCGACTGCTGCCCTACAACCTATTCTGCCTCCTCATTCAATCAATATGCTTTTTAGCTATGTAACAACATTGTGCCATAAACTGAGTAACACAGCATGAGATTTGTTTTAACAATGACATGTCAGCTTTGACGTTAGAAGCAGGCTCTACGATCCACAGCATGTTACTGATATGCTAACAACCCACACCGTCCACATTTTTGTTACATTTGAGATTTGACAGCAGAGATATTCTTGCAGTGTCGGGCTGTGGGGAACAGTTAGAAGTGCCTTGGCCTGATATGCAACATGCCTGTTGTTTTGCTGGCAGCTTGTAAATGCAGTCTTATGTGGTTAAGAGGAATGCCATACAGCTCTATTCAGATCAAACATATCTTTATTGCTTTTTGTCCATGGACACATGATGCGGGTACTGGGCCTGGGATATACTGGGTTTCGCCAAAATGCTTTTGTCCCTTTTGCACAGGATTGGAAAGAGACCTTTACACAGCATTTAGACTATGATGTGACCATAAAGCACTTAGCAGGTGTTTAAAGCAAGTTGAACTGTTCCATTATAGATTAGAACTTAGAAATAATAAAATGTCTTTGCTGTAGCAGTGTGATCACAGCTGAGGTCCAACAGCATAATATTATGTAGTAAAATCAATATTTAATTATGCTGTGCTCAACTTTGTTCTGACGCATTGGAAAACCAAATGCAAGTCTAACATGTCCTCTAATTTGATCTTGCATTAGTGAGAAGCCTGACTTCAAGAACACACTCCAACCAGGAATGAATGGAGGTCAGAATAATCATGGGCACAATGAGTCAAATCGAATATATGCACAATCTCTACGAGGACCAATTCTTTACTGTGGGGGCGGTGGTTGCAAGCATGATGGTGTAATGTGTGCTTTTTGTACTGCTGTGTTTTTAAGCAACGCAGGACCTGAATTCACAAAGCAGCCTACTATGAGATGCTCTGACACATCAGGTCCGGTGGGTGGGGTGGGGGCTGTTATGTTTGCTTGTCTGTCTGCTTAATTCCAACTTACTATGTGAATGAAGTCAACTGGTGTTGCAGTGTACAAGTCCCAGTGAAGCTTGTCTAGAATGATCCTCTCCATGCGAAGAATCTCTGCTGTGGAAAAGTTGCATCTGCTCTGCACAACCAGGTCTTTAACAGAGCCTATTACCTGTTCAACCAGACACCAACAAAGGGAAGCAAATAAATGTATTGTTTTGAAATAGTATTGAAGTCGGTGCATTGTTTTTTTTTATTTTTTAAAGCTGACGTTGTTTTTGTGTATTCTGACGGGAGAGCTCACCTCATCTTCCTCATTGATTTTGGCAGCCAGGACCAGTGAGGTAAAAGCAATGCATTTCAGGTACTTTGGCTGGGCCTTAAAACAAAACAAACAAAAAAGCCAGAAAGATCTATGATTGTGAAACCTCAGGGAATATTTAGGGATGCCTTCTCACTTCTTTTACAGATTCCAACTCACAGGAACTGCATCTTTAAAAAGAGCACACTGAAGTTGGCATTTCTCAGCAGCAATTCTAGTGATGAGGGATACAAGCGCTCTAAATAGTTTCATCAGATAATTACACTTTTTTTGCTCAGAATGGACAAATCTCATTCTCCCTGAAACAAACCAAGGACAAACTATTAGCCCTGATCATGCCTGTCAACACCTTAAAATGTGTTGATGTCAAAACTGTTAAACATAAGCTGCATATTGTGCACTGAAAGGTCAGCCATGTTGACCCGAGTTTGATTTTGTGATGCACTGGTTGTTCCAATTCAAGCTAAATTTTAATACTCCTTATATGGTTAATTTGCTAAATTAATGGACTAAAGTAAAGATACAATTATTCACAATCCACTGTGCATCTCTATTCAGACTACAATCTTATGTCAAATATACTGTAGATGAATATTTTCATTGAATGCAGACTTGAGTTGCTTAGGGTTCAAAAGTCTTTTGTGCAGGTTTTAATTGGGAAATTCTCCATTATGTTTACTCAAAGAGTAAATTTACAGTAGATACTGGACACAAATTTGGGACTATTATGGTATGTTGCCGTCTACCTTGACAGTGGACAGCAGACGGTTGAGGATACAGACTCCCAGTGCAAAGGTCTCTGGACAAAACTGGAACAATCTGCTCATCTCTCCAAGCCAAAGGATCATGTCTTGGTGTTGGGATGAAGAGATGTCAGTGCCCTGAGGGGTCAAAGGAGACAACCACTGGTTAATAAGTTATACCTGCAGGAAGCCACCATCTGAAAATGGCTGCAGTAATGATTTACTCAGACTGAAATGCTACTCTCTGCACATTTAAACAAACTGTAAATGCAAAATTGTCCCATATATTACTACATATTCATAGACCACTTGTCTTACCTGGATGCATCCATTCTTGAAGACAGTTACCTTCCAGAGGCGGGCCTCCCTGACCAGAGCAGCCTCCAGGAGGCCAACCAGTCGGCGGCCCTCCGCAGCTCCTGGGTTCTTCATTGCCACCACAGCACAGGCCAGGCTGCACCCAGGGCACGCACACCTAATACAGGTGGAGAAGGAAACAAGTGAAACCCCAAGAGAAAATGAAAGGAGCAGATTGGTATACACAAAATGGGCCTTAAAGAGCCATAAGCTTCTCTTAAGTCTGTGAAAACATCATTCACATAAACTAAAGACTGTCCATTGCATTCAGTCTGAGGTCAAACAATAAGGCCTGTTTACCAGGCTAAACTGGTAAACGGTTCATCACCCCACTGCTCAAAGAACCAATGTATGCAGCAGGAAGCGGACGCTACGCGCGCAGTATCACGTACTTCATCGCCATTTTTTAGACTCTGCAGGGGGATCGAAAACTGCAAAGTTTAAAACACTGTTACGTGACTTATTCTTGGTCAGCTGTGTGGAAAATCCACGGGCTGGATCCAGGCGGGATAATAGGAGGCAGCTGCAGCAGCTTCTGTTGCACCGTTGTTGCTGCAGAGGAAAACATTTGTCTTCCTCTTTTGTTTGTTTTCCTTTACTCAAGCAGTCTTACCTCTTCGATTTCAAATGCAGAGTATCTTTTCGACGGAAGGTGCATTTATACAGTTTTTAATTTAGTCCATATCCACCGAAACCAACAAACAAGCAAACATTAGGATGTTTAACAGAAGACGGTCTCGGAACAAAACCTGTTTCGCGATGAATATACGGAAAGCAGCGCATTATATAAAAAGAGCAAATAAATGTAAAGGTAAAAGGTATTTAGAATAACTCGCAGGGTCAAAATAAATAGGCGCAAACAAACGGCAGGAAACGAAAAGCACTCACGGCAGACTGTGTTTTGAACGCTCCAGACTCCGCCCACTGTGACGTGGCTGAGGGCAGGCTGTGTTTTGGCCGCTCCAGACCCCGCCCCCTGTGACACGCCTTTGCCTGTTGAACAGAAATGTGTTAGTCGGTCAAACAAACGGGGTCCCTCTCACAAAATGGTCGAACCTTCACTGGAAATGGAAGAGTTTCACTGTGCTGACCAAGAAGATCTGTGTGTTGACTTATAACAGGCTGCTCCGGTCATACCGGTTGGATGCAGCATCTCTGCTTATGTCTTCATCTGTTTCATTCAATTACATCCTGGTTATTGTTATTAATTAGTAACATCTAGAGAACAAATTCACTAATCACAGTTAACACAACAGATCATCTCGTGGGATCATTTCTGACCTGCCTATTTTGTGCTAAAACTAATATTAATTTCTCACTTTGTTCTATGCAAGGAAGGGGCCCAGGGGTCTGATGTTTTTAGTGGATGCCTGTAATTGACACTGGATAATAGGCCTACAAGGGCGGCATTAATGCAAATGTTATGTGTATTGTATATTAAAACATTAAGGATTTATAGCATCAATTTCTTAATAACCTTCATATTTATGTGTAAATATAGGTACACTTCCTGTATGTAATGGTAACTCCACACATAACATACCATATTTCATTTGTATTTTGTGGCATTCATGTGGACGGCAAAATAAGAATTTCATTGTACAGGGAAACCCGTTTCCTAACTGTGCATATGACAAATAAACACTTTGAACTTTGACCTTTGACCATGGTATGTTATGTGAAGTTGAATAGCACTGACCTAAACTGGTTGTTTGCACTATAGTGAAGGGGTGGGTGGGGGGGGGATGTATATCACAAATTTAAATTGTCCTCTCAACGGATTAACCCTTCACTCACCTTTCGAGTAAGAGGAAATGCATAAGAGGAAATGCCATGGCTGACTCTGCAGCACTGGAGAATGTTGCAATCAGTATTGTTCAATGGCATTTTTAGTGACTGAGGCCTTCCACTAAATTGCCAATTTTATCAATTTCCCCCCAGTTTTTCCAATTTTCAGGTAGCCTATCCTGGGTATGACAAATATGAATTAAAAAAACTGTTGTAATTTAAAAAAAAAACTGTAATCTGGTCCTCATTTTAAAGATGGGCTTGCTTTTCTCTTTCAGAACACTCATCCTTCAACCAGAAAAGGTAAGCACAGCTCCTCAATAACAACTGGATCTGGCTTTTTGAGGTGCCCTTGAGCAAGACTCCTTACAAATGGGACTTTGTGTATCTGATCAGAAATCAATTAAAAACTCACAAATAATAATCCAATTAGTGGAAGGCTTTTAGGTTTTCTGAAGGCTTGTTGATATTTTTTGTGTCGAGAGACTTGTCAGAGTTGTTCTAGTTTCTCAGCCCCTTGTTGGACGTCAGAAGTGAGATTGCTCCGTGGCTCTTTATTCTGATTTCCACTCTCAGTCACCTCACACATCTGACTGGTTAAAAAAAACAGAGTTGACCACAATGTCTGATTCGAGGTTACGACAAGAATGTTGACAAGAAAAGATGGTCTCGGTGAGCAGCATATCTACATGTTGACAGAGTGTAGCAGCCAGTGGGAGCGCATTCAGGCTGTGTTTGACTTGCATATCTTGTTTGGTCTGTGCTCTCTGGGTGCTTGAGGTGAGGATGGTGAGGGTTTATTTTTTTGATCAAAAGGTCATTCTCACATATTCTGGGGCTTGAACCCTCATGCATCTCTGTCCTTCTCTATCTTCCTGTCTCACTCGGAGTCCCTCTTCTCCTCGTATGTCTCTCTTCCCTTCAGTCTAAACTGCATCTCATGCATAATGTCAGGAGCTGTATACTGCTCCATCTGTGCATCTTTTCATGTTTGCACAGTAATGTGTATGTTTACATCCCAGTGCTCGCTCTCCAGCACATGCCTGGGAATATAACTGGCTGGTGATACTCATGGGTTTGAGTGTTTGAGCTTCTCCCTGCTCATACACAGTAACCATATAAACATCCTGCTAACACTTGTTGATAAATTTTGGAATAAATGCAGCTGGTTAAAGATTTATCAATTACAAAAAAAGCTATTGTATATGTGAGTGGTGGCCCTATATGAAAAGCAGCAATTTTCCAAAGAGATACAGTATCATACCACATTAATATTTCCTTTGAAACACTAATGAGAAATTCAGTCAGAAAATTGATATATGCAAAGTATAAAAGATTAAACATTGAATTATTCAAAAGAAAGACATATAGTGCTACAGTATATTCATAAGAGAACCAAGCCAGACTGCTTGTACAAGAAATGAAAACACTTACAGAGCCTCAGGGGTACGCTGGCTTCAGCTTCTTGGATCCTAGACATGAAACAGAAAAGGAGAATCTGCACGTTTAATATGATGGTTTTAGCACAGCCTGCTCTGATTAGTATAACACAAATTTACAGTGTGTTGGCAGACCCCCTGTGCCCTCTCTCTACCCCTGTAGCCAAAAAATGCTCTGCACCATTCGAGTTTATTAAAAATCAAAAGCTGAAATCTCTCATTTACAAAGCATTCACAGCCTTTACTGTGGCAGGTGCATTCTGTTTGTTTTAATTATCCCTGAGACTTGTCTAGAACTCAAATGAAGTCCACCTGTGACTGGAGATAGCCCCACACCTGTGTATATAAGGCCTCACAATTCATGTTAAATGTCAGGACAAAAACAAGCCATCAAGTCCAAGGAACTCTCTGTAGACCTCTGTGATAAAACTGTCATGAGGCATTAATCACAGCAAGGGTGTAAAACCGTTTCTACAGCTTTGAGTGTTCTCAGGAGCTCAGTGGCCTTTCTTCAAGGACCTCTCTGTCTCTGGCTGCATTCATCCTTCACTTATGACCTGTCTCCCTGTGCCTGTTGCTGAGAAGCACCCCCAAGCATGATGCTGCCAACACCATGCTTCACTGTAGGGGCGGTATTACCCAGGTAATGAGCAATGCTTGGAGTTCCGCCCAGAGTGTTTCATTTTTGTCTGATCACACCAAAAAAATCTTTTTCCTCATGCTCCCAGAGTCCTTCAAAGGCTGTTTGGCACACTTCAATCAGGCTGCCATACAGTATGCCTTTTACTCAAGTCACTCTACCATAAAAGCCTGATGGAGAGCTACTGAGCTGGTTGTCCTTCCGGTCGTTGGCCCCCATATCTGCAGAGGACTTCTGGTGCTCTGTTAGAGTTATCCAGGGCCTTCTTGCCCAGTTACTCAGTCGTCCAACTTTAGGAAGAGTCCTAGCAGTCCAAAACTACTCCCATTTCACAATAACTGAAGCCCCAGTATCTTAACTTTCCTTCTCTTAACTTCTCTTACAAATAGTCTTTTTTTGTCCTGAACACAATTTCTGCAATAAACTTTACTTTATTAAGATCATAGGGCTAAAACATAATTTTTTAGCATATGTAGATGACAGCCTAAGGCGACAATGTGAAGTTGCTTTGTTCCTGGCCACCAGACCTGACTGTGTGTTGTGCACTTAACCATTGACCCATCATGGTGCAGATATAAGAAGAGTACTGGAAGTTGGCTGGAATCACTAGAGGCAGATAAGCTTATTTCCTGCCTGATGACAGTATGTAGCTTAAAGGTCCAGTGTGTAGGATTTAGAAGAATGTATTAGCAGCAGTGAGCTAGAGGATGCATAATTATGTTTTCATGAATGTGTAATCATCAGAAAATAAGAATCATTGTGTTTCTTTAGCTTAGAATGAGCCTTTTATATCTACAGAGCAGCGGGTCCTCTATCATGAAGGCCACCATGTTGAGCTGCCACCTTTTTACAGTAGTTTTTACAAAGTTTTTGTTTGATAGCTTTACTAGAACATGGCCAGTGCTGGGTAACCCACTGAGGTCAGTTGAGCCGCAGTTAGCTTTTGCTTGGTCAAGTCACTGTACTAGTTTTCCGAGTGCACAATTTGTCCTACATTTATGGTAACCACTGTGAAACGCCTGAGAGCTTTTTGCAATCTGCAGCCGCACCACTAGATGTCACTAAATCTCACACAGTGCACCTTTTGGGTATCAGTAGCATGATACTCCAACTCATATACACTCTGATCCACCCAGAATTCCTGCTCCCTGCTCCCCTGTGTTCTACTGTGATCTGCTACGTTCCACCACACTCTGCCCAGCGCTTCAGATATTTGTCGTTATGAAATTACAAGAAATGAGAATGCAACAAAACTTACTGATCAAGCAAAAGTAATTGAAAATCTGTGATTGGCTCATGAGGCCATTTCTGCTCGAAACCATTTAAAAGCTAATATCTCTGCACTGCTGTCAGTGCTGTTCAATGAGTCTGGGTCACAGGAGGCTTCGACAGCACCTCTCCACATTAAAACAAGTTTTGGACCAGATTTATACAACAAAAATATTTGAAAAAAAATAACATGCTTTAGCTTTAACATAAAAATCCTTAAAGCTACCAGTAGAGGGAGACAGGGGCCAGGTCATGTCAATATCCCTTAACTCCAGTCTTGCTTTGCTCTACATTTTTTCATCTTTATTTTAAAATAGTCAGGTTGGCTCTCAGATGTCAGAGTTCACCTCTGACTGCCTCAAAAAGCTTCAGTGGGGAATTTCACATCGTTATTGTTACAGAAGAAAGAACATGGTGAAGAGATGGGAGCAGGGGGAGCACACCATCACCACTAAGTGGGTCTGATTAATACAAAAGCACAGTGCTCCTTTCACCCTGTCTTCATGTCATTATTAAAGATTGTACGCTGAGGGTGGAAAACATCGAGGTAATAACAACGAGGCCAGCTCAGTCAATTTCACGGTCTATTTAATAGAAAGGTGGCAGGTTATGCTTTGTATAGTCAGTGTGTCTGATGTGAGCTAATGGATGGAGATAAAACAATGGAAGGTTACGTCACCCTGAGAAAGAAGGACTTAAAATAAATTTACATCTCAGCATAAAATTGGCAAGTCATCAGATGGC